GGCGAGGAGCGTGCACCCATCGTCGACGACGACGCCGGCGACCGCGGCTGCGGCGACGACGTCTGCTGGTGGTGGGCCATCTGCGTCGAATAAGCGATAGCGGCTTCTTTCAAACGAATTCCCGCGGTCGAGTGTTACTCTTCTTCTTCCGCCGCGACGATGCACGCGGTACGTGGCGTTTAATGTACCCTTCCTCGGCGAGACCGCGTACGAGAGCGCCGTTTCTCCGCTGCTCCTCGACGTCTAATAAAAGTACCTTAAAATCCTCCCGTTGCCTCTGCATGCATATAAATTTACTAAATTAATTTAATTCTCAACTTAACCTCGTTATTACATACGATATTATATACTGAAGAATGTAACGAAGAATATATATTTTATCTTTTGTACATTTAATAATTGGATAAATATAATGTTAATCAATTTTTTTACAACGAGAAGCAAATCAAAGTGACTGGATTTTCTTTTCCTTTCTTTCTTTATTGAGAATGAAAATTAATATCGTAATTATTTCCGCGAGATGAATTTAATTTAACAATCATTTATCATGCGAGATAAATACGTACATACCTGGTTGTTAAGATCAAAATTGTAACAGCAAGAAGAAAGAAATTCGAGGATATTATTTCTCGAAGTTGAAACGGAATTTCTCCTATTTTCTTCCAGATACCGCGATGGATTTTCAATTCGGGGAAGGCAGGGAGTGCGTTAATTGCGGCGCAATATCGACACCGCTTTGGAGGAGGGACGGCACCGGGCATTATCTGTGCAACGCGTGCGGACTCTACCACAAGATGAACGGGATGAACAGACCCCTGATAAAACCGTCCAAGCGGCTGGTAAGTCACTGGAATCCCTCGAATTCACGCTTCATGTAGACGAGAGGGGAATATTTTGAATAATTTCAGACCGCGACCAGGCGGTTAGGGCTTTGCTGCACGAACTGCGGCACCCGAACCACGACCCTTTGGAGGCGCAACAACGAGGGCGAGCCCGTTTGCAACGCTTGCGGCCTTTACTTCAAGCTGCACGGTGTGAACAGACCACTGGCGATGCGCAAGGACGGGATCCAGACGCGAAAACGTAAACCGAAGAAGACGCCCGAGCCGAACGCGAGGTCCTCCGCCGTCGAGCACGAGACCACCGCCGTTTCAACCGCTTCTTCTCCCTCCACGGGTAAGCGAGGAAACTATTCTTCCTCCTTTTTCCTCCTTCTCCAACTGAAAAATTAAAATTTAAAATAGAGCGATGAATAATAGGTAATAAAAATTAAAATTTCAGGTAGAGTAATAAATAAATAGGTTAAGTTTATTTATAAAATTGTTCCAATAATATTTTTGTAACTAATTATAATCGATTTTATTTTCTTTCTCAGAGCTATATTTTGGGATTATTGCATGCTATTGCATTCAATAAATTATTGAAGTGAAGTATTTCATTCATAACCTCATCATCATGATTAAAATTGTGATATATTTGGATTGTCTTGCATCCTGGAAGTTTTGGAATTTTGATTGTTGAAAATTGATTATGCTTTTTAAATATATGAATGAGACTATTGAATCTAGATTTTTAACAAAGATGAAAGCAAATAAGGCTGAATTTATGCTGAAATTGAATTGAGTTTTTTGGTGGATTATGAAATATGAAAATACTGAGCAAATAGTGTTCACTGTTGAAAAGAAATCTTGGAAAAGGGTGTTTTTTGCTTGGAATTGTTTATTCTTACTCTTTACTTGTTCTTCGAAATTACTTTAAATTCTGATATCATTCTTTATAGGATATTTTCTTTGAATAGTTAATCAAAAAGTAAATTACAATAGAGGAATTTTATTAATATAAATGAGATGTAATTATTTTCAATTATGAAATCATTAATAAGATCTCATCTCTATTTTAACAGATCTTGTTCTTCTCTATTGCATAATGGGATTAATATGTGTATTTATGCTGACAAATAACATGTTGAAATAAAAATATATGTGAAAATAAATTATTCTGATCAATCAAATCAATATTTTTTTCTACAGGAAATTCTTTCCAATAATGAACAATGTCTGGATATGTATTAACCCAAAAAAGAACATTTAAAAATGATCATTTTTGTTATATGAAGAATTCATGCAGAATCTTTAATAGTATCTTACAAGAAACAAAAAATGTTCTTATTACTTTTTAAAGAAATGTTGAAAAAATTGTAAAAATAAATCTAAAGATTGAATTTGTTTTTAAACGTTATACTTTTTTTTTTTTTAATTTTGAATAATAATCTTGGAAATAATTAATGAAGAAATTGAATCAATTTAAGAACAGAATCAAAAAATATCATTGTCATGTGTGAACTAAGCAACTAATATGCGAGTATTGACTTTACATTTATATGTATGTACAAGAACAATTGCCTTTCCTTAATTTTTGCCAATTAAGAAATACACAAAATATTTTAAGTTTAGAGTCTGTCAAAAATTTCGTTTTTAATGCTATTATTTCTATATCAATTTTATAATTTTGATAATCAATTATACATGGTGATGTTGCATTTTTGAAATTCAAAATTACCATTTTTATTTATATAATATTTTATACCATTTTTTAATTATTATACCTTAATACTATTAATTCTAAATAATTGAATTCAGAATAGTTAATACGTCTTTTTTCTGATGCAAATCTGCTGATACATGCGTTATTACTGGTTGCTTCTTTATAACAATGATTTTATATAGTAATTTTGTCTGATTCATTCAATTTATCAATTTATTTTTTTATTAATTATTTTAAAAATTTCAATATATTGAAAAAAGAAAAAGAAATAATGTTTAAATGAATTCGATTCCTACATTATTCGTATTTTAATAACTTTCCTTTCTTTAAAAAAATAAAATATTTTTTGTCTTTTGAGGAGCATTTTTAAAAATTCATGAATTTTTCATTTTCAAACAATAGTCAAAAAAAGGCTATTTTTTAATTCCTTCTTTTATCTATATAAAATTGTATATATAAATAAATTATAGATAATATGCATACATGATCCAATAATATTGATTATTCTGTCAATGTAAATCGGCCTTGCTCATTTTGCACCAACACTGAATTCGAAATATAAGTTTCCATAATTATGCGTATCGATCTCTTTATGTGATTCACAGAATTAAAGGGTAACCAACAACAGCAACAGCAACAGCAACAACAGCAGCAGCAGCAACAACAACAACAGCAACATCAGATCGAGGTGTCCAAATCGTCCGCCGGTGGTGGCTCGAGCTCATCAGAGAGACCGGTTTACCTCGGGCACACGTCTCTTTTAGCGACAGGAAGCGTGGCCACCGTCAAAACGGAACCTCGAAGTTGTGATGGCATTGTTGGTCAACCCTATTCTTCGTATTATCAGCATCCGCATCAACTTGGGGTATCGAGCAGCGAGCATCAGCAACAGACCTATTACGGGAGTCAAGAAGCACCTTACCATCATCAGCATCACGTTACCGCGGCTGCCAAGTTATTGGCATCCACGTAATTTCATCTCATTGTTTTCGCGACGCGACAATCGCAAAAAAAAAAAAAAAAAAAGAAGACAAAACAAGCGAAATTCGATTAATACGCGATTTTTCTTCGTTTACCTTTCTCGTCGCTATTTTCGTTTCGTCCCTTAACTCTGTTGTCGTTCGTTGTTGCACCACAAAAAAAAAAAAAAAAAAAACGAGACAAAATCAGCGAAATTCGATTAATACGCGATTTTTCTTCGTTTACATTTCTCGTCGCTATTTTCGTTTCGTCACTTAACTCTGTTGTCGTTCGTTGTTGCACCACTACAAATCGTAACGACCGATCGACGAACGCGCGGGAAAAATACGCCGATATACGATGTTTATGTTTTTCGTTCATTGTTCGTCGACGACTCGCCGCCATTTTGAATATTATCGCAGTGACCGCTCAAGTATCGATCGATCTTAATCGATTCGCCTTCTCGAGGGGACGCGACGCGTATGTATTTCACGATCATGATCGTAATCACACGTTTTCTCGTGCGATCGTTGAAACACGTATTTATATACGTCGGACGAAATACTAGTGTATTCGCGTATAAAAGATACTCGATTGTAAATATAATTCGCAAATCACGAATCACGGTAGATTTCCACGGTAGACTAGTTCCAAAGGCGTGTCGAAAGGAACGCGGCGAATCTAAGGTACGCAAACGACAAACTCGCTTTGAAGAAATGTCAGCTTTTTTGTACAGTTCCTGTATGATTAGTTTTCCGACGCGCAATAAAGAGAACACAGCTTTCGACCTCGCCTTGTCGTTTGTCGGACATCCTTCAATGCTTTGACTACCCTCCTACTCTCAAACCTGTCGCAAACGATTTCTCCACATTGATGCTCGGTAAATATTGTTTTTTCGCGGTCTGACGACCAAGTTGACGCGAACACCCCTCCCTTGTGATCAGTCTAACCATAACCGTCCTCGGTGACGAATCGAGTTCGATCGAATTCGTTCTCGCGTCTCCCTTTTCCTTGTTTAAGAATCATCGATTACAACATCATCGAGTGATATCAGTATACTCGTGATCATTAAATCCTTGTATCTATTATTTATCTTTGATATCAATTTCACCTTTTATTTTTCTCATCTCGTAACAGAACGATGGGTAAGTTTTTTACTTGTGAATCGACGTTCGACAGATTCGATTAATTTGATTTTTTATCGAGACAGGAAGAACGTTACCGACAACGGTTGCTTGCAAAGTTTGCGGCGACCGATCCTATGGCAAACATTACGGAGTTTACTGTTGCGACGGTTGCTCGTGTTTCTTTAAACGATCAGTGCGCCGTGGTGCCCTCTTTACTTGCATAGGTTCGCGAGATCTCTCTTTTTCTTAACCTTCAAATTCGTATTGATCAGTTAAAAGCAAAATATCGCGATTTCGTGAAATTTTTCAGCTGGCATTGGAGCATGCTTCATCGATAAAGCGAGACGTAATTGGTGTCCATATTGTCGCTTGAAGAAGTGCTTTACCGTTGGCATGAACACGGCAGGTAAGTAAACCGAATCGAGTTCGATCGCGAGTGCAATCTATGTATACGTAATCATAGAGTTAAACGAGATGTAAACAACAGCGCGTGTCGGAAGTCCCCTTCGCGTTGACAGAACAATTTCAACCCGACCAATTATTTTTATCCACGCCATCGCAACATTATCGTCGTGATCTTTCGATGATCCAACGTCAATTCACGATCGTTTGTTCAATAAAATACTTCCCGTTACTTCATTTATCTTTTGCTCAGCCGTTCAAGAAGAGAGAGGGCCACGCGTTCGAACCAAGATCGCAGCCGTCGCTCGCGATTTCTTTCGTATTTCGTCGTCACCACCGACGCCACTGCCACCACCGGTATCTCTTTCCTCGTCGGAACCAAGAATCGCAACGCCCATTTTAACAACAAAGAATACAATGATGCGATACCACACGAGCAACGCTAGCGTCAATACCACCGGAATCTCTTCTTCATCGACCAGACAAATCTATTCTCCTCCTCGATCTCCTAAGATTCTTTCTACCGGTAATAGAAGTCTTCGTATCCCATCGTTCTCGAATCTTTTTCTTTTCTTCCACATGTGGATAGAAAAGGAAAAAGTTAGTACGTATAGTAGAGGATGGCTAATAAAATTACTTCTAGGAGATACGATACGATATGAAATCGCGGCTCGGATATTCTTCGCGACTGTCCTAGCTGCTCGACAACATCGAGAATTTTCTATGCTCGATCTGGAGGAACAGAATAAAATTCTTCGAAGAGGATGGGCTGCGGCGTTTGTTCTACGAGCCGCGATCTGGCCGATCGATCTGACCAATTTTCGAAATACGAGCACATCCAATGATGACACCGTGCATGATGCTATATTCGCGGCAAGAGCCGTCATCTCTAGCTTACAACCTGATCGAATCGAGTTCTCGGTTCTGGAAACCTTGATTCTCTGTCGACCCGGTAATTAATTACTTTTATGCATAACATTATCGCCCTTACATTCTTCGCGATCGAACCATCTTTTTTTATTCCTGTTCTCTTTTATAAAGTTTTCTTTTCTTTTTTTCTTTTTTTTTTTATCAAAATCCAGAAATCGCTGAAACAATGAATGGCATTCGTTTAACATCGCGAGCAATGGACACCGCGGTGGAAATTCTGGCTCGGCATCTTGCTGGTAAAACCGAATCATCAGTCAGAGTGGCCAAACTTATGCTCGTTCTTCCTATTTTGACTGCTTCCTGTCCCCGGAAATTAGCCAACGATCTTTTTGCACCTATTATTGGAGATATTGATCTTGAAAAAATAATCGCGTCTGTGCGTTGATTCTATTTCTTTTTTTCTTTCATGGAAATCTAGTCATAATTATATAACTCTATTTTTCTTAATTTTTTTCTTTTTGAACTTTATCGTATATCGCGAATATCTTAATCGAATATAATTTTGGTGTATTGTTCTCGATGTATTCACTCATCATTATTGAAATAATTAATATATATATTTTAATTTCTTTAACCTCACTTTTTTACGCATTTACACATTTAGCATAATACAATATCAATTCAATTGAGTAAAAAACGAACATTGAATGAAGAAATCGTGATTGGTTTTTATTTTCTTTGGCACTTTATTGACATAATGTAACAATCTTACCTTGCATAATATGTACAATTATTTATAATAATATGGCGCATTGAAAAACACGAGAAAGAAGCATATCAACTTTTAATAAAAGTTTGCGATGATTCTTTATATGCTTTTTCCTTCATTTTGTTTGATTTAGAGCAAAATTAAATGAGCTATATAAATTATCGATATACATTTATAGATAAAAAAGTAATACAAATATAGCTATATGCTATAAATCGTAAAGGCTTCACACACATTCGCTTAATCGTTAATAATAAATTAGAATATTCACACAATAGATATTTGAAAGGTGAGTTGTGCTACTGCATAATAATCTGCGAATTTTTTAAATTATCTATGTTTTCATATTTGCATCTAGCACCAATGTTCGATGGTATCGAATTATTATTATATTGAAAACTTTATATTATGCGCGCACGTTCAAATTCAATCACGGAAAATGGATTAGTTAATTGAAAACGAAGCTTTCTTTTAACGATCAATATTTTATTTTCGAATAACCTATCTTATGAATGTTAAACTTATTTTCATCAACATCCAAAGATCCACAAAATCTCTTCTCGTTGTATCCCAAGATGCGTAGTATTAATAAAATTGATCACATCATTAATTAACAAGTAACCAACTAATTTTATATCATCACGAAATTTGCATATCGAAACTATGTCGTACGATTATAATTTAATTGACGAAAGATAATAATATCCTCTCATAACTGTTTATCAACTAACTTATTACGCTAACCTCAAAATTATATTAACTCCTTTTAAATTAACTTCTTTTTTCTTTTTTTTTTTCTTTTTTTTTTTTTCGAAATTTTACTGAATATCATTAAATATTTATATGTATAGAAATGAGAACGTGTTCGCGCAAACCGTATCAATCATGTATAAATTTCTTGGTATCACGAATGTCAATGTTAATAAAATTTTTTTTTATACTTTCGATATCTTTCTTCTTCGGAATGTCTGCGTAATTGATTCAAGAGATCGTTTGGTACATACCACAATTTATTCGCGTTAACGAGAAGAGCTTCCGTCACTTGGCAGCATATGGCAGCCATATTAACTTGTGCGCACAAATCGGTACGATCACGAGAATAAATATATCGTGGTGGAAATAAAGATGGTGCCACTATCATCGCTACATTATGAATCGACATTTTATTTGACGCTTGATTTTCCACAATCAGTTTCAAGAATTTAATCAACGCTTTCAAAGTACAACGATGTTCTATCGGAAGCAATAACACCAGCAAATTTAAAGCGTATGACAATTCTTGATGATCTTTCACTCCTGTGTATACGGAAATAAAACAAAATAGAGATTTATATTTTAAAAAATACCACAAAATATTTATATAAATATAATTCATATTTGCATAAGTGCATGAAATAAATTAAAATTATATTTGATTCTGATGTATCAAATCAAACAAATCATAATCGATCATCTAATCGTTTTAATGTTTTCTTATTTAAACACATAACTTACCGTGACTTTGGTAGAAAGCATCGATAAGTTCTACAGTAAGCAATGGTTGCGGTAGATCGCGCAGCAATTTTTTCAGAACTGCTGACAAATCGTGGCACGACATATGTTTAAACAACTTATCCATTTCTTTAGGTTTGCAATAAAAATCCGTTTCCAGCTGCATGCATATTGATTCGACCTGAACAAGATAACAATAATTATTCATTCGAAAACGTATTGAATTTCTTTTGTAATTTAAATTTGTACTTTCTGCTTATGTCCTCCAACGCGAAGAATACCCTCTTCTTTAACACCGCGTCTCGTTAATTCGTTAAAGAGCTTTTGAAATATTAGTGGAATATTACTCTCCTCGGACGATAATTGACTATCTCGAAGTAAAAGAGTTGACAATGAAACTCCGAATAGATTTCCAGCTACGAATAATGTTGTTAAATAATTTTCAACATCTTAATAATAATTTTAATTTTATAAAGATTCTACAAACCTTTTGTTCGACGTTTATTTGGTTTGCGTTTTTTTAATGGTACGTTATATTTGTCAAACACCGCGGTAAGTTCAAGCCATAATAATGGTTGTAATTTGGTCAAATCTCGTTGCGTAAGCATTTCTACTCCTAGTCGAGTCTGTATATCATCAGGTGGAGCTATAACTTCCGAATTCCATACTTTTGACTTTATTTCATTTCCTCTACACATTTCCTCGAAACTTAAGTGACCATGAGAAGATGTACGATTTAACGGATGTGTTATTAAACGTTCATCGGCTGGCCTCGTTAATCCATATAAGCTACTATGACTTCGTGTTACCGTTGCATGACTACCAGAGTTTCTTCTAAAATTTTACGTGTCCATATATATTTTTAATGAAGATGATATTCCTCAAACTTTATACAAAAAGAGGTTAGAATTTTGAATCACACCTCAAAGTCGAATCTTTTGAAGTATTCAATTTTTCAATACCCTCGCCTAAAGTTGTTACATTCGCTACTTCGCTAGGATCACTTCCGCTTCGTCTTTGAATACTAGGTTTTGAAACATGTATCGTTCCTAACCTATGATAGCTTGTTAATTGAATTCCTTCTACAAATGTATGTAATGTATTCATCTATGTAAAATCACAAATACGTTAAAAATAGTTTTTAAAAATGGATCATCAATACCTGAATCGTTAGCAACATCACCTCGTAACCAATTTCCAGCACGTCTAAAAATCTCTTGAACAGGCAATGAAGTTACCGACTGTTCTACCACTGTGTCGATCGTCGATGGTGCACTTGGCATTCTACGTATCGTTTCTTTACATTCATTTGGTACTTGTTCAAACACCGATACAAAGTTTGGAACAGTAGTGTTACTCAAAATGTAAAATACGATTAACATATATTTATAAATTATATCATAATGGAAATAAATAATGAACAAATCTTACTTTGTATGGTGACCGTCCATAATGGTAACCGTTGTCAACGATGGAGGCGTTGACGAAACATTTTCCGGTATTGCATCTGTTGCAGAATCTAAGGAATCAGGTGTAGCACTACGTGATCTCGTCCCGGTACTAGATGCCTAACGATGCGTTAATAAAAAATAATTTAATTTTTAATATTACTTTTAATAATTATATAATCTGATTTATACCTCCACATCTTTGAAAACATCTCTAATATCTGGTTTTCGAACGCGTTGTCGTTGATTAAAACGATGTTTCACTGTATGATTAAGTGATCTAACACGACGTTTTACTGCTTCAGCTTGTGCTCGAGACAAAGGACGTAATGCTGCACCCAATTCATCTGGTTGTACTTCTCTTCCTGCCTTCCATGCTTCCGTTAATTGTCCTAAACCAGCTGTACGTAACCATTCAGCTTCTTCTTCACCATCTTTGAAAAATCAATTTTCTTTTTTAATCAAAATTAATTAAAAAAAAATAAATACTAAGAAGAAAATGCATACCATCATAGTTACGTGGACATTCTTCTTCAAGATAATCATCCAATAGCTTGGTTTCTTCCATCATCTTTTGATATTCTTCCCAATAGTCTAAAAAATGATTTTCACTTCCTATGTATGTAGTATGTGCTCTCTCCATGATTTCTAAATTTATTACATATATCTTGTTTTATTTATCTGTAATTTAAAAAGTTTTTTTTGAATATCTGGAAAAAATAAAAAAAATATTCAAATTTTAATTCATAATTTTAATTCAGTTTTATCTAAAAAAAGTTTTTTAAAACATTTTATACATCAATATTTATAAAAAAAATATTAATTAATAAAAAAACATTTTTATTTTCTTTACAAACAATTATTTTCTTTACAAACAATTATTTTCTTTACAACAATTCTGATTCGCATATCGATTTTTTTTTCATTAGTTTATAATCTACGTTTTAAAGTAGGACGCAAATCAAATTAACATACACCGCCTCGAGGAAGTATTGCTGACACATTCAAACAATTAGTGTTGAAATAAGATGGCACAACAAACGAATTAAAAAAATATCAAATAAATTATTATATTACATAAAATATACTTGTCAAAGTTTAAGATAAAAAAACACACACACATGTAAATAGAATCACGAACAAAAATTTTCAAAAAAATAGATAAAAGCATCTAACCTTTTCATGGAATTTTCCATGAAAATAATCATATCAAGAAATTTCTGAATGAAATACGTACATTTGTGAAGAGACTTGGTCAATGAAAATATTGCTTACACAATTCTTATTCTTAAAATAAGTTTTAAATTGTAGTAATTGAGATTGCACAATTCGTCGTAAAAATATATAAAAAGAAATAGCTTCTCAGTTTTTAATAAAATTTTTTTTTAGAACTAAATGAGTAATTTACGCGTCAATATTATTTTGATATCATCTGCTATTTCCAAGAAATAAAATATTTAATGTATGCCTTTGTATCACACTCATCGTTAATAAAATTGTCATTAACTCGTCGCACTGAATATAACGAGCTTATTTCGAAACTTTAATGAACAAATTTGCACATCTGCATAACTCCCGCTTTTTCGAATTCAATTTACGTTGAAAACAGAAAACATGAGAACATGTTCTCGGACTTGACAACCTGTTGCTGACGCATATGACTCCCACCCGTATACTTGCAAACTGATTCATAGTCATATAGTATTGTTGTTTTGAGTTGACACCTGCGCTCTTCATGCATTTCAATCCACGCCATCTAGTTTTCTTATGCTTCGAGCACAGACTATATACATAATAGATATTTAATATTTTTTTGTCATGTTATTTATAGTTTAATTAGATCATTCGAGAAATTTCTCACATATAATATGATGTAGAATATTCCTTATAAAAAATTCATGTCATTTTCACAAATTATTATTACTTTCTATTATTAACTTATATTATATGATATTATAAAAAATATAACCTTCAAGTAATCATTCAATTTTTATTCGAAATATTTTTTAATATCATGTAAAACAAAGAAATATTCTAGAAATAAATTATATGAGAGAAACATTCTTTATATTTCTAAAACCTTTAGAATTAAAAAAAATTTGTTTATCTAAAAATATTCAATACTAATAAAAGATGACAATTTTTACCATAAAAAATACGTAAAAGATAAATATCTTTAGAATTAAAATTGTTGAAAAAATGATATGAAACATGAAAAAATAGCAATTGCAAAAATAAGTATGCTAAATATTTTACAAATAACTCTAAACTTTCATAAAAATTCTTATTTTTAAAAACATTAGAAAAATTATGCATATGACCTCTTGTCAGATTATATTTTTGTAATATAAAATCAAAATTTTTGACACTAAAATTAGCACAAAAAATTTTTATTCAATTTTATACTAGAAGAATATAATTCCACAGAAAGTGATATGTGAAATTTTTTCAGAAATTAATTCTAAGCCCAAAAATTTTTGGTCAAATTTTCGACTTTTATTAGGAGAATATAATCAAATAGGAGGTAACATACGAATTTTTAAATCAGCGCCATCTTCATAGTGCTATAAATGAAACATGAAAAGAATAGCAAATAATAAGAGAAAGCTAAGAATGAACATTTAGTGCCATCTCTTAAGTACTAAAAACAGGCTAAGATAAAGGACTTAAAAGATGGCACTAGTAGTTAATTTTTATTCTATCTTATCTTGTTTTTAATATACAAAAAATTATAATTCTAATCTTTTTAATTCTTATCTTTTTTATCCTTTTCCTATTATTTTTTGTCCTTTTTTTGTATATTTTATTTGCAGGATTTTAGAAATGATATTAATTTCAACTTTTTTTTTGCTTTCTCTATTCTTATTTTATTCTTTTTTTTTATTACTTGTGTGTACAGTTAGCTATGAAATATTTTTATAATTTTTTCTTTCAAAATTAGAATGTATTTTAATTTTTTATATAAATATTATATTTTTAATTTTAAAATTTATTTTAGGATAATGATTTTTCAAAAAATAATATATAATGTTGATATATGATGCGAGTTTTGAGTTAGCGCTCAATGGTTTATCACTTCATGATAAAGAATTATTGGTTTTAAAGACTAAATAAAGAATTATTTATGATTTTATATTCCATATTTTTTTGATTATTTGTTCGTTTACAAAACGTAAAAAAAAAAAAAAAAAATAATTTTTGTAAAAACA